GATCGCGATCATAAGTATTCCCTTCATTTTCGCCGCCCTTCCCATCCACTCCACCTCCACCTGAATAAAACTGCATACCTCCTGATGAAGAAACTAAACGTGTGCTGATCGATTACCATCGATCATTCAATACTTGTTGTGGTGAATTTGTTGTTAAAGGTTGTAATGCAAACAACGAAAAAATTCATAGAAGAATGCTTGATGAATTCTATCAGATGATATCTCATTTCGATCGTTGTCAAATTTGGAGAGAAATCGGACTCCTAATAGAAAGTGATATTTCAATCTACTTTTTAATCAAGTGGCGCGTATTCATTACAGCGCAATTTGCAGATGGGTTACCAATGTTAAAATAAGTTATCCCGTTCAGGTCCTAAGCAGTCACGGGAATAAAGATTGTTCACTTCGTTGGTCTCGGTGATGTCACGTTATCTAAGAGAGCACTGCTCGGAGATCGTGTAATTTACACAAGTTTCATCATTCATATCAGAAAAAGTGCAACTTACTGCTGGATATGGTGGTATAGTCGTGAGACGCCGTTCCTTCGTGCATATTGGTACTTGGATACGGTGAAGTGGAACGACCATCATCATTTAACTGCGTTGACGTCTCATCAGTAGTGCCTGCTCGGACCACTTCATCAGATCTGACAGAATCCATGACGCCAAGGGTGATACTAGTGGTAACTTCCATATTGTCATTAACACTGCCACTTGGGACCGTTGAATTGGAATGCCCGTCATCATTTGGTTGCGTTGAATGCTCATCAGTTCCATTTTCTCGACCTGCCTGACGAGGCGTTGCTGAAAATGTGTAATGGATGGATGATTCAATACCTTTCGGTTCTGTGAGTTGATAAGGTGATGGCAAACCTATGATGATCATTGAACAAATGTTTTGTAATGATCTCAGAGCAGCCATTAAGCGTCGAAAAATTTTGATCAGAATACCCTTTTCAGCAGAAGAAACAGCTTAATATTTGTTGAGTGGTCTCTGATGATTGACCGTGAACGTTCGAAAATTAAATTCATTGACGAATTTCTCGTAGAAGGTGTTGGACAAATTCTCATCCTGGTCAAGGCGAAAAAAAATTAAAAACGTTGGTCAAAATGATCTTGTAATGAATCGGAGCTAGAACGTCTCATTCCCTAGTAAAATTTGGTATATCCGAGAGAGAATTTCATTCGCTCACCTCCTTCACCACCGCAATGTCCGCACGTTTTTCTGCAACTATTCATAGCGAATTGTTTAGGCCCGATGCAAATGTAATCTTTAACCAATGAACAATACGGATTATCATCTTTGCATACTGCATCATAGTTATGTATATTCCTATCATTACCACCGTCGTTCCCGTCTCCTCCACCTTCACCTGAACGGAATCTGTACACGACTCTGATAAACAAAATAAACAAGTGATGAACGACACTTATTTGTCATTCTTAATGCACCATATAACCATGCGTCGCATGTTCATTTCAGCATTGCTTGCAAACGGCCTGTCTAGCTAACGAAGGTCACCACTTGCTTGCGTTGATTGCTCGCTACTGCTTCTTAATTGGTCAAATTGATCAGATGTGGCTGAATGGGTGGAATGGTTCATTGATTCAATCGAGTTTCGGTTTTGGCGGTGCACAGCGTGATGAGTAATTTATAGTGATCTTTGCGCAGAGATTTTAAACCGGAGCAGTAATTCATACACGTTGGTTTCAGCGCCATTTGCAGATGGGCTGCCTAGGTAAAATAAAGTTATCCCGCATGATTCTTAGGTTGCCTCGTGAGCAAAGGCTAATCAATTCGTTAGTCTCCATGATAGCATATTATCTAACTGAATACTGCTCAAAGATCGTGTAATTTACGGGTGTTTCACCGCTCGTAACTCAAAAACTGCAACTCACTGTTGGATACGATGGTATTGTCGTGGGATGCTGTTCCATCGAAAGCACTGGTGCTGGGATCCGGTGAATTGGAACGATAGTCATCACTTG